ACCCATATCTCCTTTTTAGAAGTTTCTATGCACTGGCTTAAAAAAACCCTTTTGGACACATTTTACACCTGCTCTAAGCCTTTCACACCTTGTCCATCCCTTTGTTTCACTGTGCATAAATTGATGGTAACATTTCTGACATTACATTACAACACCGACCACAATTAATTGCCCCTAAAATGTTTAAGTGATATTTATAGTATGTACAATATTGAGCCAAGTTCCCTGAGCTCTTCTTTATGGGCTCTTACGGTGCAGTGGTTAATCTGGGTTCAAGTCCCACCTGCTCCAAAGGTGTATCATATTATGTGCAAACAGGTTGATTTTTAAAATATGTCCTTAAGCTCTTCTTTCAAAGTTCCATTGAACTTTACCCCCATCCTCTCTTAAAGCACACTGCAGTGAACATGCTTCTGTTGAAGCAACAAATTTACTGGAGCAATTGGGAAGACGTTAATAAATTAGTCACCCGCATGACTGAGCTGTCAAAATCCATACTGTTTGTCTTGATCTTGCCATTGCTTGTACAAGGATGAAATGTTGGAGAACAGTGGAAAAATCCACAAACATAACTATTCATTTACATTGAGTCCCGCATCTAGATAAAATTCTCATGGTTGTACAGACTTGTCATAGTCTGGAAAATATATCTTAATACCTGTTTATGATTGTAGCCCATTATTACTTGTGCAAAAAACATGCAAAAACAGTCAGACTATAAATCCATAGAGCTTCTATGCCACTGTAATTAGGATAATAGTAGACAATGAATCCTAAGAAATGGCATGAAATGAATTAAGAGATTGCGATTGGAACCCAGCATGAAAGTGATTTTCAACACCCCAAACTTCAGTTGCACATTGTATTTCTATCACAGAAAATAGAGGTTGGTTCTGCGCAGGGGAAAGTAGCGTGACTTCAGGAAAATGGCAGAGTCCTCGTGGTACTAAGTGGTTTTTCAATGAGAGAATCGTGCAACTTTTAGAAGGCACATTTTGGATACGAATTGCTACTCCTATGACTCAGTTTATACTTGCCATTGTAGGGAAGATCAGGATGCCAAGTGAGTGGGTACATACCAGTTCTGAGAGGGCACATATTGACCCCATTGTGGAAATAAAACAATGGCTACAACTGATGTTGTGGTGAGTAAGGCTGAACTTGGATTCTGAAACTCAATGAAAATTAACAAGGGGTTGGGTATTTTGTCTCAACTTGCTCACCTCTTGAACTCTTTAACCCCGAAAGTCTCTTCACATTCAACAGGCCTCAGGTTAGAAGAATTAAGGAATTATGCACTATTTGGCAAACTTGGTATAGTGCACAAACTCAAGAGTCTCAAGATTATCCAAGACAATGCTTTTCGCCTGAATGATTTCCTTCCCACTGGAATCAATTACCAGAGTTTTGAGGATTGGGCCGCTGTACCGTAGATCATACAGGATACACTGCAGCTAATTGCCAAGACTATTCACAAAGCATCTCCCAACTTGTAAGTTTTGAATAGGCACAGACTGTTAATGAAAGCATCACCTCCAAGTTGATCACCATGCCTTATCAATACAGGGCATTAGTGAACAGTGATCAACAGAAAGCAAGTTCCAAAAATTCTGATTTCCTCTCTCATGCCCAATATTGTTTCCACCCCTCAACATATTTTAAACTATGTTTTGGTTAAGACTGCTGCCATGCTAGGTATTATAACACATCTATTACAGTGGTAGAAATGTGTCAAGATAAAATTTGAATATTTCTGAAGAGAGAGACATGTTGTCAAAGCTTTTTAACTTGAACTCATCAGGGCAGATGAATACAGGGAGAGCTAGCCATTTGGCTACAAAATTGGTTTGAAGGTAGGAGAAGGTGGTGGTGGATGGTTGTTTTTTGGACTGCAGTGCTGTGACCAGCAGTGTGCCACAAGGTTCAGTCCTGAGTTCACTGCTTTCTGTTGTTTATATAAATGATTTGGATGTGAACATAGGAGGTATGATTAGTAAATGTGCAGATGACACTAAAGTCAGTGGTGTAGTGAACAATGAAGAAGGTTATCTCAGAGTACAAAAAGACCTTGATCAGATGGACCAATAGGCTGAGGAATGGCAGATGGAGTTTAATTTAGATAAATGTGAGATTTTGCATTTTGGTAAGGTAAACCAGGCAGGATTTATACACTTAATGGTAGGGTCCTGGGCAGTGTTGCCAAACAAAGTGGCCTTGGGTAGACAGGATAGTGAAGAAAGTGTTTTGTACACTTGCCTCCATTGGTCAGTGCATTGAGTATAGGAATTGAGATGTCATGTGATGGCTGTACAAGGCATTGGTCAGGCCACTTTTGGAATGTTGTGTTCAATTCTGGTCTCCCTGCAATAGGAAAGATTTGTTAAACTTGAAAGGGTACAGAAAAGATTTACAAGGATGATGCCAAGGTTGGACGACTTGAGAGGTTGAATAGGCTGGGGTTATTTTCCCTGGAGAATCAGAGGCTGAGGGGGTGACCTTATAGATGTTTATAAAATCATGAGGGGCATGGATAGGGTGAATAGCCAAGGTCTTTTTTCACAGGGTAGGGAAGTCCAAAACTAGAAGGCATAGGTTTAAGGTGAGAAGGGAAAGATTTAAAAGGGACCTAAAGGGCAACTTTTACACACAGAGGATGGTGCATGTATTGAATGAGATGTCAGAGGAAGTGGTGGAGGCTGGTACAGTTGCAACATTTGAAAGGCATCTGAATGGGTACATGAATTGGAAGACTTTAGAGGAATATGGACCAAATGCTGGCAAATGGGACTAGATTAATTTAGGAAAACTGGTCAGCATGGATGAGTTGGACTGAAGGGTACAGCCCTGCTGTAGACTGCTGTACAGCCCTATGACTCTAAAAATATAAAATTCCCAAGGAAGCAATAATTTATACTGCATGAAAGGATGTATTGGCACTGGATGGGGTGCAGAGGATGTTCACTAGGTTGATTCCAGAGTTCAGAGGGTTGGCTTATGAGGAGACATTGAGAGTAGACTGGGAGTGTACTCATTGGAATTTAGAAGAATGAGGGGGTGTCTTATAGAACTACATAAAATTATAAATGGAATATATAAGATAGAAGCAGGGAGGTTGTTTCCACTGGCGGGTGAAACTAGAACTAGGATACAGCCATAATATAAGGGGGAGCAGATTCAGGAGTGAGTTGAAGAGAAACTTCTTCACCCAAAGGGTTGTGAATCTGTGGAATTCCCTTCCCAGTGAAGCAGTTGAGGCTATCTCATTGAGTGTTTTTAAGGCAAAGATACTTAGATTTTTGAACCGTAGAGGAATTAAGTTTTATGGTGAGTGGGGGGGGGGGTAAGTCCATGAGTTGAGTCCATGAAAAAAAATTGGCATGACCTTATAGAATGGTGGAGTAGGCTCAATGGGCCAGATAGCCTCCTCTTGCTTCTATTTTTAATGATCTTATGAGAAAAGAATGATGATTGGTTAGTAAGTCAGCTCTGATTAGCCCAACTATTGCTATTAGGAATGCACCATAGGGCAATTGTTCTGATGTTTTTGTTTATTTCAGAAATGGAGCAATGTCTGGCCAAACCGCTTTTTGTCTGCAGATGCCAGGTTCCTTGCATATGACTGCTTATGGATCTGTGTAGGTGTAAGTGAGCTACAATGCACCGTTCCCAATTAGTAATCTTGAATTGGTTGTTAGAGTAATTCTTAGTACATTCAGAGTTCTTCAGTAAATGCTGCCTTATCACAGAATCACATCTCATTTTTAAACCTGTGCTCTGCAGAATAACTCAGTGCCACCTTTCTTCAGACTGGCACTTATTTAAACCCAGTAGCCAGTGGAAAAGTACAAAGTAGGGTCTGTCTGTTTGTGTGTGTGGAGGCATGTTTTTAATACTCTGAAAACTTGTCAAAATGTTTAAAAGAAAATATGGATTAATTACTGGTGGAGGTAATGAGAGAAGGAAAATACCAGTTGCCATCAATCTAGTCCCACATTGATCATAGTTACAGTATTATATACTTCCTTCCAACCATCGCCATATAATCACATTGAAAAAGGGTAAAAATAAGATCCCTGTAAAGGTTCTCTTTGATCTATTCAAGTTATGGAAACTAAGCTGTATGGTGGCATTGACCATGTATACAGTAACTGCTAATCCATTGACCTTCTCTGATACAGCTCCTTCTCCAGAGAGGAAACACACCAGTGCCTTTTTCAAGCAGGGTGATGCTCAATAGTGACCACATAAGTCGACCATATATTCCATAGGTTGACTACCCTCTGCACAAAACAGAACCACTAAATAGCCAGCCTTTTTCTACTTCTTCAAAGTCCTCCAAATGATCCCTTCTTCATCCCTCTAAATGGCAAAACTGTTTCCCATTGAAGTGGGGAGTGGGGGTGGGGCTAGCTGTAGAACATGTTATCTACAAAATACAATTACAACTGTCCCATATAGCACCTCAAACTCAGTGAAATATACCAATGGGCTTCAGAGCAGTGTAATTGAGTAAAATTTAATACAACATAGGGAGGTAATAAGCAAGGTGACCAAGAAGGTAAGCTTTCAGGGAGATTCTTAAAGGAAAATTGATGACAATTGCCTTTTTGATATTATTCCTATACCATTATGATTATATGTAACATAGACATTTCATAGGAACCGTATGTGCATATAGAGCAATTATTAATCAACAAAGCATCACAAGTGATGGTTTGATAGCAAACAGAAGTTTTGAAACTACAGGACTGGCTAAAGTAAAGGGAAGGTTCTCACTCCTGAAGTTGTATGTTGCATTCCTACGATCTCCTGCTGTTTGTCAGATCAAGGAGAAAATCACTGAAAATGCTGGTGCTTTGGACACTACATATTGTTTCTCAACATCATACTGAGGTGATCTACTCCGGTCACCAAATCTTCCCCATCGATTACAAAATCAGAGGGAAGTCAGAAAGGTAAGTTTGAAGTGAACTTCCCAAAGTCTGTGAAGTCGAACTCACCGAAAAGCGAGAGTATCCCGCAGGCGGTCCACATAACCAGGGCCATCCCTACGGTGCCAGTGTGCTTCAGGATTCCTTTGGGAGAGATGAAGATGCCCGCTCCGATGATCGTGCCGATAATGATCGATATTCCTCTCAGCAGAGTCACTTTCTTCTTTAACCGCACCTTGTCCTGGGTGCTGTTACTTTGCTGCCGGGAGCCCCCCTCAGGCGGCAGGAAGCCCTTGGTGCCCCGGCCGGGGGGTTCTCCGCTAGAGATCGCCGATATTGCGCTGCTGGACATGCTGCTCAAAGTCAGTAAGGAGTCACCGGTGCCTCTCGGTATACACTCCCTGACTCTCTGAATGCCACGGGGCTCTGCGTCCTGGCAGGTGGATGTGCGATTTAAATCGGATTCTGGCCACGAACACACATTTCACAGGTTAGCTCCGTGTATGCGTGTGTATGTGTGTGTGTATCAGGGTCTGTGTGTTCATAAGTCTGTGCGTGTCTGTTTGGTTCTGCTTGTGTAAGTACATTTATCTCCTCACTGCTGCACTAAACCCTCCTAAAAGTAACAAGCCCGCTTCCGCCGGCTCTTTATTCAGCCCCGGGCAAACAAACACTTGGTTGATGTCATTACTGGGGATGTGTTGCATCAGCCAGTGAATATTACTCAGCACTTTCCCTTACCTACACTGCTTGGGCAACTCAAATTCCTTCACACGTTTTCTATCACTTTGATTCCCTCTTCTTGTTTCTGCCCCACACTCTTAACTGCCACCCCCTTTTTTGGAAGACAAAACATGACTAAAAATTTCAGATAGTCTGACTTCCTGAGCACCCTACTTCAATGAAAATCTTATTTCAATACCTGTGTGTGTGTATTAAACATTAGAGATACCAACTGACCTGCTGTAGTTTAATTAATTTCGCCTCATACATTGACTTGTTAGTGGTTATGACACATTTCTAGGGCAAGTAAGGACTTGATTCCCAACCTTCACTGCACCATAACCCCCTCTTCCCCTTTTGTTGTATGTACACAGGTACACAATGGCACTCTGGTTTACTGTGACTCAGGAATATTGTTGGAAATATTCACACAAATAATGACTCACATACACAAACATAAAACAAACACTTCCGCTACTGAAATCTCAGAGAATTCTATCACCTTTCTAGACCGTTCTTGTCCAATGACTCAGCAGGTTACCCTCCCACATTCTCAATCAGAAGTCACAACACACCAGGTTGTAGTCCAACAGGTTTATTTGAAATCACAAGCTTTTGAAGTGCTGCTCCTTCACCTGTCAAAGGGGCTGCACTCTGAAAGCTTGTGATCTCAAATAAACCTGTTAGACTATAACTTGGTGTGGTGTGACTTCTGACTTTGCCTAGCCCAGTCTGACACTGGCACCTCCACATCACAATCTTCTCAATCGAAACTCTAGCTCAATCAAAATTCTGCTGCTCGAATCCTGTCCCATGTCGAATCTTCCTAAGACAGCATTCCAATCCTTGCTGACAAACCTTGACATCTGTAGTCTTTGACCTGAAACACAGGCTGAAACTTAGGTTTCTACGTTGAAATGTCAGTTTCATTGAGTTTCATGAAAGGGTTCATCTCTGGATGGCCTGATGAAATCTTGCATCTGACAAACTCACCTCATTAACTACCTACCCCACTGCTAAAGCTTCCTTCTCATTGAAATCTAGCCTCACCCCATCAATTGCCATTTTTGGAACTCGACACTCAAAAGATATCCACTTAAAAACTGGCATCCATGCCATCTTTAAAAGGCTACTGTGCCCCTGGAAAAGTGTTGTCAGCTTGGTGTTGCTTCTCACCGGCAACGCAATGGCACAGCCATCACGAAACCTCACTGCCCACAGCATGGAGCTGGCATAGCTAACACATCCTCATCCATACAACCCCATTCTTCCACCCTACTCCCTGTAAACAACAAGGCAATGTCCTTATATACATCCCATCTAAACATCCTCTCTACGTCACCTCTACTATGTCCCTGTCTTGGATCACAGAGTGTATCTAAGCGGTTCTTTTCAGATTTGATTAAACGAAATTCAGGGAAGGCTCGTCTAACAGTAATTTGCTTGAATATGAAAGTTTATTATATAATAATAATGATTAAAGTAGTAATAATAAATGATTACAGTGGTAATAATAAATGGAAAAAAAGAGATAAAAAGCAACAAGTCTCACGCGCTTCTGCCCATCGGGGACCCCTTGATTGATGGCCAGTCTGGAGGCTTAGGTTTGTTCCTGGCACCGTGCACGATTCTGAGTTGAGGCACAGTCCAGCAACTTGGAACAACGCTCTCTCTCTCTTATGCGGTGTTACAAACAGCCAGCGCAACGAAAGCAGATACAGAATGACAAAACTGCTGACTAGCACAGAAAACACAGCTACAGAAAAACAAGCTGAAGGTGTTGTCTTCGGCTCGTAACGGAATATTCACAGGACTCATTCAAGCTCATGCAACTTGTTGAGTAACATCAACAATTTTAGCTCTTTAGCCCTTTCTAAATAGTTCCTAATGCCTATTTTAGACCTTGTGTTGTTCAATAGGGGAACGTCACATACAAGCAAGCATTCAACAATTCCAAAGATGAGATTTTAATTACAATGGGCAAAAACAAACACAATCAGAAAATGAATAGAGGCTGCAGTTTGCCCCCACAGTGCAAACTAGATGCTGGCTTGATGACCAATGACTATTTTACATGTTATGATTGCTGCACCCAGCTCTCATTTGTTACACAGGGTGTCACATCAGGTCCTGCCTGGCCTGTAGCGCCCACCACAGCTAAGCTCTGTTATGTACAAGGAGAGCTTCCTCCTCCCCAAAATTCTCATTCTCCTCCTCAGAAGACTGTTATCCCATTTCCTCAGCATCAATTCCATTGCTACATTTTCCGCTCCAATTGTGTAACTGTCACTTTCACAGACACTGGGAGTGGATGGCCTCCTGCTCCTGCAGGTCTCAGGCCCTGCGATAGCATCCAGGAAAGTTCTGGATGAGTGTCCTGGGATATACAGAGACTATATCAAAACTGTGTGTGGCCCATCCAAAGGAGATGAAGTCAGGAGCTTTGGTGCTCGTGTGGATCCAATGGGGACCTTAGGGGGCTCTACGTCTGGGACTTCCACCTGAGCTAGGTGGTCCTCAACCTCATGGCAGTTTGCTGATGATCTTGGGTTTGTTGTTGATCGTAGACTTCCTTTGTCTGCCGTCACCTTCTGAGGTAGGCAGCCACAATGACCAACATCTCACCAGTGACTGGGTGCATGACACTTTTTGGAAATGACGTTAGTTGGGAACTTTTGGAGTAAAATAGGCTCTTAGTGCAGAACAATCATTGGTGTCAGGCCCTGAAAATGAGGGATACACACACTCTGTCACACACTGATAACTGGGGCTGTGTCTCTATCATTCATTCAGCTTCAACCTCAGAACATTCACTAACTTGAGGAAAGAGCCATCCCGACTGAGTGATCAACAGATTACATCACAGAGGCTGTGCCTGTGATGCACAACCTCTTACCATCCCAAACCCAAATCAACCATGAAATTTATCATTGAATTCTGTAGAATCCATTATCATACTTACTTGACAGGTCATATATCTCCACTTCGCACAGTGCCCTTGCAAGTTTCACAGTTATTGGTTGTTTTTGGCAAGTATATGCCATTTTTTTAAGTTGTTGCTGTAAATTTCTGCATCACTGAGATATCATTGTTAGATTTACAAGGGCCAGTTGTATATTCCAAATTGTCTTTGACTAGCTTTTGTACCCAGATCTCTGCCTGACTTTCACACCCAGCAATGAGACATGACTAACAAAACACCTGGCTGCTGTCTTTGTAACATTGCAACTGCCAATATACAATTCTCCTGGCTCTACAGGACTGACCGTTGCCCACCCCCTGGACTGTGGTCAGATATATCCCCTGACTGCAACTTGCCCAAGCAGACAACTGACCTGGTCAAGCCCCTCATTTCCCCGACTGCCACTGGACTGAGGAGTAGCCCTCAACCACTTTTTAACATGATCATTTAGTTGAACAATCATGTATTTGCCAAACAGTCACTTGGCATGTGTTGTATGAGTTAAATTGATGCCTCAGTGTACCGTACAGCAAAATCTCCCTCAAACTCCCCAAACAAATCCCTACAGACAAGCAGCCTGTCTGCATCATCAATAATTGGAAAAAATAACTTTCCCTAGAGAAGGAAATCTGCCATCCTTACCTGGTCCAGCCTACATTCTGAATTCATAGGACTGTGGTTAACTCATAACGGTCTTCCAAAAAGCTAAACAAGCCATTCAATTCAAGGACAAATAGGGATGGGCAACAAATGTTGGTGTTGCCTATGATGCCGACTTCCCTTAAAATAAGTTCTTAAAACTTGTAACTTAATCATAACAAAATGCTCCCTTAAACTGCTGTCTGAATACAAATAGAATGAGTATGTACCTAATTTATTTAATCCACTCACAGTCTTCTTTTCTCTTCCTCTTCAATTGTAAGGCAGTGAAGGTCTGTTTTTTGCTGTTGTGGAATGTCAAAAATGAGAATATAGCATTATACGTGGAGGAAGTGCAGCTTCATTCTGTTTTTTCCCTACCTCAACAGCTTAATAAAGAACTTCCATTAAGATGGCAGCACAATAGGTTGCTCTAGCTGGAGCTGATCTGCTCCACCGATTCTTTTTCTTTTTTGTCTCTCTCTCTTCCTCCCTTCTGTGGCTTTCTTCTCCTCTTCTGTCTTCTCAGACTCTTGGCCTTGGTCACCCAGCCCCAACCTCTGAAGCGGGGATGTCAGTAAACACTGGCCCGAAGCGGGGACGCCAGCGAACACTGGCCTGAAGCAGGGACGCCAGGGACCAGCAGCCTGAAGCGGGGATGCCAGTGAACACTGGCCTAAAGCAGGGACACCAACGGCCCAGTGTGAAGCGGGGATAGTGGCCCGGTGTGGAGCGTGACAGCTGCGACCCAGTGCAGAGAATGACCACAGTGGCCTGGTGCGGAGCATGTTGGCAGTCAGTGGTCAGACCACGTGGAGGCCTCCTGAGCTGATCTGATGTGGAGAGCCCTTGGAGAAAGACTGTGATGTTTGTCTTCTTAACATTGCTTCTTCTTTTTCTGATCTATGGTTATACTGCAAACAGCTGTAATGTAATTTTTTTTTCTTTATTTTTCTATTCTGCAACTAAGAATTGTACCTAGGTACTCTGTACCTAAGATGGCAGCGTGTGTTGGTGACACTGTAATCGATCCTGTAACTGAAGAAGCTGTACCTGGGTACCTTTGTACCTAAATGGGGCTGTAAGTGGTGACTTATAAACTTTATATTGTACTCATTTAAGTACATGTGACAATAAAGATAATTCAACATTCAACATTCAGATGGTTATATCCATTACAGTTATAAATGGATGAAACTTGGCTAGAAAGTTTGTTTTACCTGAGGTTCATATCCAGGTTTTGTAAGTGACGAGGAACTCAGACCCACTCTCTGTCATTCAAGAATTTTCAACCAGCTGTACACATCACGAATGGATGAATAGGCTGCTCATGTTTCTCTTAAAAGAGAAGGTGGAGGGGCTAAGAGATCTCTAAAAGTATTAAAGGTTTTGATTGAGTTGATACAAAGAGCATATTTCCTTTGCTGGAAAGAACTAGACTAAAATCCAACAATATATATAGTCCCTGAGAAATCCAACAGAAAATTCAGAAGAAATTAATTTACACAAAGAAGGATGAAAATGTAGAAGCCGCTATTACAGGCAGTCGTTGAGACATGGAGTATAGATGGAGTTAGTGGGCAGTTTAGGTACATACTTGATGGAGAAAGGGGTAGAGTGATGTTGATAGTATTAGTTAAGGAAGAATGGGAAAAATCTTAAGCGGAACATAAGCACCAAGAGATTTGAAGTCCGGTGGTAATTGGTCTTTGAACATCATCACCATACACAAGGTGAATTGCCAGTGTTCCTCATGTCTCCACAGACAGCTCACCCAAAGAAAGTCATCTATTTTGGTCCATCTGCTGCACAGTTACAGACCTCAGGTAAGTTTCAGAATGAGATTTAGAGTGGGCTACGAGTGGGTGGTCACACATGAAGTTGGTGTGTGTTAATTTCACTTCTTTGACTCCTCAAAGCTTTCTTTTTTAACAAGAAATATTTTTTGAAACTTACTTCCATGGGCAGCTCTTGGGGTTGGAGAAAAAATCTGAGCTGAGCCAGGTCCAATATCAGCCGTGCTCATCATGGACTAATTTCACCAAAGGGTCTTTTAACAGGGTCCGAATTAGCATGCTTAAGGACCCAATGCCTACATATGTAAAGCAGGTCCCTTGAATGCACTTTGTCCTACTATAAAACTAAGAGACATTTACTCTACTCTAGACTTACAACCAAAAATAGGGGCAATGCACACTAATTTCAATCCATGTATGGGTATTCTGTACTGTTTCTTATGCATTTTTCCCTGCATATTTATCATGGTTCTGACTTTAGATGCAAGTCCAGTTTTGTGCTTGATGTAAACACTTGGAAATTTGATCCAAAGAGCTGAAGTTTTGCAACATATATATAATGTGAAAGAAAGCACCGGTATTTATAAAGCAAAACCTCAGAATGTCCCATTGCTACTTTACACTCAGTGAAATACTTTGAACTACAGTCACCATTGTAATGTAGCAATTTAGGAAGCAATTGAAGTTCAAAGATGTTTTCAAGTTGTCATCAAGGACAGTGCAACATCCATATGGTATTGCTTTCTGAATTCATTCTATACTGCTTTCCATGAGAGGACCAAATGTGTGATTTGTTGATTTTAATTAGTTGTCAATATGGCTTATAAAATGATAGTAGAATCATAGATATTTACAGCCCAAAGGAGATCAGTAAGATCCTGACCTGCTGCAGCAATCATTGCTAGTGCAATCCAACACATATCCCACAAAATGTCTCACCAATTTAGCACTCCATGGAGTATTTTAAAGTACGATTCAGTGTTGTTTTCTATGCAAACAGAAAACAGATGCATACCATTTATTGTTAGGAAGATCTCACTCATAGTGTGGCTTGCAGTCTGGTCTTGCAGTGTGAGTGCCTCCTGTAACCTCCTGTCTAAGATCATCTGAAAAAATAAATTCCTGAAGCAGGTAACTTGGGAATTGAAAAAAAATGACTGAGGCATTCTTCTGAAATTACAATATTTTTCTGTCAAATATGATTAGTGTGGTATAGCCCAAATGACCTAACTCTTTATTAACAGCTCTAACTTCAAGTGGCTCAAAATGTCACTTCTGATTTAAAATTTAGGCCCAGATCTTCTGAGAGGCAGCAATCACTGTAGTTTGAATGCAACAGCAATACATTGTCCCAATTATACGCTGTTTAACTTTTCTTCCAGGACCCTTCAAGCTGAGCTTTCCTGGAAACATGAAATGCAGTGCCCCTGAAAAAGTTCAGTCCATACAGAGTATGGTACAGAAGCACCCACACTGATTTACAGCATTAGCAGCTATAAGGTAAATATAAAGGCCTAGGTTGAAAGTTAATGAATGGGTGAATAGGTAAATGAATGACTTCGTGAGTGAGTAGGGTGGTAAGGTGGGCGAAGTAAATGCTAGGGTAACCTGACTAAACTGATAGGAGTGAGGTGGCAGTCGGGTCAGGTTACAGGTGGATGAGATGAGAATGTGCTAAGGTGATTGTGGTAGTGGGTGTATGAGGTGCCAGATATGTGAGGTGGCAGGTTGGCTAGGTGGCATGTGGATGACACGGTAAGTGGGTGAGGTGGTGTCGTCCATGCTTTGGGCACTCGGACTGGTTTATGTGTTAAAAACACTTTACCCAAGCGTTCTTTTCGGTGAGGTGGATGAAAAGACACAGAATTTGGTTTGCGGTTCGAGTCAATTTTATTGACAAGTATTTCTTATTAACAACACTGTTTCACATTTCCCAAATTCCTACAATATTTACACTATCTAGCTGAATCGGTCTGTGCAAGGATATTACGCACAACGATCCATGAGTTTGAATTGGGCTGTTAGAATCTCCTTTTCTTCCGACGGAGGGCTGGCTCTTTTCAAAGAAGGTGGGTCTCAAAGGTCAGGGCAGATCTTCTCTCTCTCTCTCTTTCATTTTCTTTCTCTCTAGGTGGCCAGAGCTCTGCTGCTGGGCAAGGTCGAGTCTTCACTGAGAGTGTGGTGTCCAGGTGTGTGTTCTTACTCGTCTCAACCTGACTTTCCAGAATATTCTGTGGCCTTTGGCCAATGGGATCATGAGTAGGGCTCAAAGGATCCAATGGGGTCGCGCCAATGCCCTGCACTGTTGCCATGCTGGGGAAGTGTAAAGTGTACGTCCTCAGGCACTGGCTGGAAGTCAAGGTGCCAGAAAGTCTGATCAAAACCTTTCCAATACAGAACCCTCTGGCTGCTTTACCTGCAGGTAGCCAGTTTCCCCTGACTTATTGATCTTGGTTACACTGTTCTCAGTAACTGATTACTGCTGGCTGCTGTTTAATTTAGTTTGGCCAATTTTCTGTCTGGCCTGATTTTCTATGGCTGTGGGTCACTTTAGACTGACCCGTTTTGGGCCTGCTCCTGCTTGACCACAGTGACAGCTGGGTAAGGTGGCAAGTGAGTGAGTTTGTTTGGATGATAGGTGGGTGAGTTGGTAGTTGGATTGATTGTAGTGGAGGGGTGCGGTTTGGGTGGGGATCAGTGATGGGAGTCGGATACCAATTGTGAGTTATTTGGGTTTACTCTGTAGTTACCTAAAGTTAGACTCGATTTCCTCTGTCTGACATTTCCTGGACAACTATCCGGGAAAGTACATTGGAAGTAACCAAAGGCTCTCACTCTAGCTCAGTGAAACATCCTGGTCAGTTCCAACACAATCAGGGACTGGAAATTTTTGGCTAATATTGTAACCATTAATTGCAATTTATATTTTTTGTTTACTTCTGTCTGAAACAATATGAGGTAAATTAACATTGAGGAGTGGAAAATTTTCTATTTCAGACACCTGGCTTTAACATTAAGGACTCCTACACGAGGCAAAGAGTGAAGGGTAGTGCTAACTTACCTGACACGATAAGAGCAAATTTGGAGGCAATTCTACAAAGAAAACAATGCCATTGACAAGAATGGCATCGACAATGACTTTGTAAACAGCTTTCCCAGAGTCCTTCTGGTACCAATGCCAAATGCAAGCAACAAATTGATGCCGCATTTTGGTTAGGCTCACTATCATGGGTCTCGTTATGATGTTACGACAGTGCAACCCAATAATATACCCAGGTATCTCCAACATCAGAGAAGGTAACATCCCAGAATTACAAAGTCCCAAATCAGTATAAAGAAGAGAGTTCATAGTGTTGGAGCAATTCCACATGCCTCAATCTCAAGCATTCACAATTGTCTAGAACCTCAGAATCATTGTAAGGTTTTATCCTAGTTGGAATGCTTCTGTAATAATAAACAAATACATTTAAAGCTTCCAACTATGTATCTTAACAGGACTTCCTGCACAATATTTCAATTGTTTTTTCCAATATTTTTGTTTTCACACTCCAGCTGTACTCTTGCCTTTGTGGTGAGATTTCCAACCTAAGCCAACGCATTGCTAAGTTTATTGCAGCCTCCTACTGAGCCCCAGCTTGGCTCAGGAGTACTTCTCACTTTTCCTGAGGCAAAAATGGAGAGTTTAAACTTCATGACAAGGACTGGGCCCTGTGACCCTGATTGAAACTATACACTTTTGTACTGAGGGAGTGTTGCATTTCCATCGACACAGTCTTTACATTGAGATGTTAAACTATGGCCTTATCTGCCTTTTCAAGTGGGTATTAAAGATTGTAAGATATTAGTCAATGATAAGCAGCTGACTTTCCCCTGTATCTTTATTAATATTTCTCCCTTATCCAACAATATCACAGAAACAAAAAAAAATAACTATTTGCTATTCACCGGGCTCTGCTATTTGAAAATTGCTGTTACATTTGCTCAGGAAACATCAGTGCACTATACTTCAATATATTTAGTAGACAATACTTTTAGAAAGTGTTTTGCAGGAAAATATTGTTTTATAAACACAAGTTAATTTTGTTTTGTTTTCTTCATCGTACATTTCCACTTGGATTAAGATGATCCAAATTTATTTTGTGCATGTTGTTGGTGGATAAGGCTTTCATTTAACACATCTAGGCTGGATTTTTGAACCCATTGTCACGATGAAACAAATGCACGGAGTATTTTTCACCAAGTGTGCTTGTTGGGAAAATCTAGACATGTGGCCTGTGATGAAGGTTCGAGGAGTGTGCATTTGTAACATGTACCCTTTCAATTTCTGTTTGATACTGCAAATGTTTCACTCTCCTTGGGTCTAATTTCTCAGAATTTAAAGTTCTCATCATCAATGCCCCCTATTAGAACCAGTTTTTTCAAACTGCTGTAGAACTGAATTGGCCTGAATTAGTTAGCACAGTGGCTCGGTGGTTAGCACAGCTGCTCCATAGCACCAAGGACCTGGATTTGAGTCCACCCTTGGGCAACTGTCTGTGTGGAGTTTGTACATTCTCCCTGTGTCTGCGTGGGTTTCTTCCAGGTGCTCTGGTATCCTCCCATAGTCCAAAGATGTGCAGGATAGGTGGATTCGCCATGCTAAATTGCCCATAGTGTTCAGGGATGTGCAGACTAGGAGCATCAGCCATGGGAAATGCAGGGTTACAGAAATAAGATAAGGGGATGGATCTGAGTGGGATGTTTTTTGGAGAGTTGATGTGCACTCAATGAGCCAAATGGCCTGCTTCCACACTTTTGGGATTCTATGATGATAATCAAAGTCAAAAATTATCTTTACTGTTACTGTTCTGCACTATTCCTTATTTTCTTTTGGAATTCTTGCATTGTTCCAATTAACACAACAGAAGGACAAAGAACAGGGAAAAACAACATTTTATCTTTTGATTAGGCACTTTACAATCATCTGGAGTTATTTTTTCAGCTCCAGATTTTCAGATCCTCACTGATATTCTCATTGTTAGACTGTGTGGTCAACATCCCGCAATCCTGGATGAGTCAAACTTTCCTCCAACTGAACATTGAGAAGTTCAAGGCCCTAATTTTTGGTCCTTTCCACAAACTCTGTTCCTCACTCCCAATTCTATATGCTCCCTGAACACTGTTTCAAGTTGTATCAGACAATCATAACATTGGAGTCCTAGTTGACCTTATGTGAAGTTTTGGACTGCATCTCTGCTCCATCACCAATACTTCATTGTTTCAATTCCATAATATTGTCTGTCTTTACCTTTGCTGCAGATGCCTGCTGCTATTTCATGCTTTTGTTATTCCAATCTCCTCTTCACCAGCCTATCATAAACTTAAGTTAATCTAATCCTTACTATCCAAACTTGCATCAAATCTCCTTATACAACAAATATAATACACTCAAATCACTTTGCTGAAAATTTTGTTCAGTCTGTAAGTTGATCCTGAGCTCTTGATCACGCCATCTTAATTCTTTGCTCCACCCCTGTTGTGACCTCTCTATTCCCGGTCTCCTTTTTAATTGTAATGAACTCAACAGAAGTACGAAACACAGCACCTCATGTTTCATTTAAGCCCTTTACAATCTAGTCTTAACACTGAGTTCAGAAATTTCAAATCATAACCTGTACTCATTTTCTTTTTTGACTGCGGATTGCCGTTTATTGCTCTTCTAGACCCATATTTTGTTACTTTACATTACATTGATCCTCCTTTTTGTCTTTTCCTAGCATCCCACCCTATCATTTAAATCGGTCCTCCCTTCCATCTTATCACTCCCCTTCCCATCTGTTCTTCCTCTTCTTCTCCACCCCACCGCTCCCCTTTTGTCCTAAGCTCTGTATGTGGTTAAAACTTTTGTATTTCTGATGAAGAGTCACAAGCATGAAATGTTAACTCTGTTTTCCTTTCCAGTGAGTCTCCCTACCTTGCTGAGTTTCAACAACATTGTTCATTGGTTTACGTTGAATCCAAGTTTACCAGGTTAATAATGGTCTTCCTTGTATTCCATCCCTCCATAGTCACTTCCTTCACTTTCTCTGTAACTTTCTTAATCTCTACAAATCTCCAGGAAAATCACTGATGTGTTTATTAGGCTCCATCTGTTTTAAGTGGAAACACTGATTGCCTAAAGTAATCTTGAAAATAACAACTGATGACCTTCTGCAGGAAATCCAATTATTGCTGTTTCCTGTGACATTTTTCTGTGCTACTCTCCTATTAGTGTTGATAAACAGGAAAGTAACATACAAACATAAGAAATGGGAGCAGGAGTAAACCATTCATTGCCTCAAACCTGTTCTACTGTTTTATAAGATCTTGGCTGTTCTACCCCAGGCCTCAACTCCTTTTCTGTCCCAGCTCCTTGATTCGAAATTTCAAAATTTCAAACATCTATCTATCATGCCTTTAAGTACTTTCAGTGTTTTAGACTCCACAACTCTCTGTGAGGCAAAAGCCATCCCCTAATTTCTTATGCTGATATTTCAATCTTTTTGAAGATTGCTTGTGAGAAGAGAAGTGACTAGGAAAAACCTAGAGAAAATGGAATAAATGCGGAAGAAAGAATAGAGTCCATAAGCAAGCTGTAGAACAATGCCTTGGCTGAATTCCCAGTTTCATTATGACAGGCAGTTGGGCACAGACATCCATATAACACTCAGAGGCACGCTCCCCAAATGGCATGATCTAACCCCACCGAGCACGGTAACCTGCTCCTACCTTACAATCCTCTGAGATGTCTGTGTTTCTCTAATTCTGGCCTCTTGTGCATCCCAAATTTCCAACTCCTATGCTTCAGTTGGACCTAAACACTGGAATCCCCACCACTCCCACCAAACCTCTCAGCATCACCATTTTTCTCTCTCTCTCGTTCTTTAAGATGGTCCTTACAACTTATTGCCTTGACCAAGATTTTGCTCAACTGTTCTAATAACCTCTTATTTGGCTCAGTGTAATCGCTATGAAGTACCTAAGGTATTTCATGTTCAAAGTTCTATATGCATGAATGTTGTTGTTGTTATTGTTACAAGTACAGTAGGAGGTCTTGTGGAATAGTGGTAGCTCCCTACCTCTTGGTCAGAGGTCTTCAGGTTCAAGCCCCACATAAGGCCATGGAAAATGTGCCATAGCATGGATAGATAGGTTGATTTCAATCTGTAAATCCCTCAGAGTCACATATGGGCAGGTGGTAAAAATGTGAGAATTTCCTGATCAGCAAGAACCATGTGATAGCTGCAGCTCAGCCCGTCACATAAAAATATTCTTTGCAGCTTGTTGCCATGAGCAAGCATCAACTTTGTTCTGAGGGACTGCCATACATTTAGTTTTAGAAGCAATTCAAGCTGATAATTGTAAACACTGCCATAGGACCTGGGAGCAGATGTGTATTAAGGCATATCTTAAGGAATCTGTCACAATTGAACTACCTAACAAGACCTTTTCCTAGGCACTTGTCTTGGTTTTCATGCCACAATATATTGAATATTAATCTATGTCATATTTAGAGTTAACTCGACAGAAAGATGTAATATAATCTTGCAGCTCTGTCATTATTGATTCTGCATACTCATATTCTTGGTCAGCACACTTATAAACTGCAATTTGTACACTGCAATGCATTTGAATACATTGTCACAAATATTTTCAGAGTCGTTTATGAAATAGAATTTTAACCAAAACAGCTGCAGAGTGAATATCCACTTACTGACACAAGATGTGAGTTGAATGATGATCTTAGCCCTTTTTTGGCACAATCCTGGAGCAGGCATACTGTTCAGACTATTCTCCATAACTTTAAGTCGAGTAAAGCAGATTCGAATAAGGTAAAGTGAATCTGAACGAATAATATATTTTTGTCATAAGGAAAGGAGCCTGCAAGGGGTATGATTGCCTCACAAATAGTCTTTTTAACAAATTTCTACCATGTTATATTATAAGGGTCTGTGAATTTCAGGTACCCCCCCACTAAAGAGGGTGTGGATTGAGTGATATAGAAGACTAAAGAGACAATATACATTCTAAACTATATATAAACAGAATATATAAATTGAATCTCCAATTCACAGTGTGATGAGACAGTCAATTTCAATATTAATGGTTTTAGGAATAGAAGGAAAGAAAATACAATCTTATTTGTAGTGGAGAATGTAACTTTTAAGATCACATAACCATAAGACATAAACCATCGAGTCTGCCCTAGCATTTAATGAGATCATTGTTGATCTGTTAATCCTCAACTTCAATTTACTGCCTTATCCCCGTAACCTTTCATTCCTTTGCTGATTAGAAATCTGTCTTCTGAGTCTTGAATATAATTAGTGAACCACCTCTACAGCCCTCTGAGGTAACA